TAATATTTTGAAATACCAAAGAGAATACTTTAGGAAATAGTGAAGAAAAAAATCTCATTGCTTAGAATTAGATTAGATTTGTTCAATGAAAATGTATTTAAAATAATTATATCTCATTGTTTTCAAATCTTACAATTTGGTTTTTATCAATCTGCTTTACTGGCTGTAAAAATAGAATATTGCTTTTATATAAAATGAATGAAAATCCATTTTATCCAAATATAGAAATGGATTGATATTATTGTGAAGAAACTATCGTGAATAAAGATTTTATTTACTGAGATTTTGGAGAAAGAAATCATGAAGGATACTTGAGTGAGGGATATTGTACGTTTAAAACCTTCTCGACAGCTTCGCTTAGAGAATTGCTTCTTGTATCGTAGAACGCATATCCGATACGCGTGTTCGAGTAAATGCGCGGAATGACAAAACATTCTGCTCTTATGTGTAGGAGAGAGCGAGTATCCGCTTTGAAAGACACTTTTTTTCGCGATGTTGCTCTCAGCGTTTCCCTTGTTTCTCTTTCATTCTTGCTCGCTCTTCTTACGACATTCAAAGTCTAAAGAATGGCATCAAAAAGGATGATGTAGTAAAGCAAGTGTGTCCTCGATTCTGTTGTTGCCTTATTCTGAAAAGATACAAAGAGAAAGCAAGAAGGAAAGAAAAGTAGGAAGAAATAGAAGTTTATCATATTTTAAGAAAAATGGACTTGAATATGTAGAAAGTTTTACTGTTGAAATTAAGAATAAAATTAAACAATTTTATAAAAAGAAGAATTAAAATTAAAATAAATAAATTAAAAGCTATAACAATATGTTGAAATATAAAATGTATATTTTATAGCGAGAAATATAAAAGTACTATCCTAAATTTATTATTTAAAGTTTTAATATTTAAAGTTGTATAAAAATGAAAATAGAAATTGTCATGTAGATCGAAATATCGCGAATATATTAAAAATATAAAATATGAGATATGGCGATAAGAAAAAAAAAAGAAAAGTTTTTCTCTTTAATTCAATCAAAAGAGTTGGCTCCACGTAAAAACGATAGACACATATTTGATTCCTTCGCGTCACAAATCCCAGATTCAATCCCGAAGCCTATATATATATATTTTTGAAATTATAATTTATATTTTTTATTCTTAAACACAGCTGTGTATAGAAATTATAATTGTGCTTTACGCAGAATATCAGTATCAGATAAATTTCGAAAGATTTGCAAACTATTAAAAAATTACGAAAAACTCAAGAGAAAATATTATAGGACTTTAGGATTGAATTTAGGTCTTTGAAAGCTCAATAAGAGTTCATTCTATTTTTACGCGGAGCGTGACATCTCATTTGATATAGAGCAAGAACTATAGACAACGTGTCGGAGGACTGTTGTGTTATTTATAGAAAATCTTGGCAATGTAATGGCATATGATACAATTTTAATTGCTTTTCATAAATGACACAAGAATTGGCAATGTTTTGTCTGTTATGTGTTCTTGCTCTTAAGAAGATTCTAAAATAAAATAAAGTTCAGATATCAATGAAATCACCGTTTTATCAATTTACATACTTACGAAACATTGATATATTACTACATATTACTATATCAATATTGCATACATACATACATACGAAATTTTCTGCGTTTTTCTTTCTATACTAAAGCTTTTAGACTCATTTCAGCACATACTATTGTTCTTTCTTGTGATCCCTACACGGAATTAAGTAAACTTATTTTATACATACAAAGTATAAAACTTTTTATGTAAAGCGAACGTTGTTACGAGCCAGAAGTTAATAAAAAAATTGTAATTTTCTAAGTTTTTTCTTTTTTTATATCAAATCGTTTGGCTTCATGTGCGCGTTATTATATATTTATATTTGGATTCTGAAAAAGGATTTATAATTTTGTGTAATCAACAAAAAGATTTCCTGTTGGAAATATATCGCTTTTTGAATGATAAAATAGATGAATTTAAGATTTTCTTGATAAATTTTTAAAAACTTTTCTCAATTAAATCAAATTGGAAAAAACATTCGCCTTGAATAGGTCAGAAGATTCCTGGTTTAAATCTTGGTTAAGATAATATTTTTTCAGTAAGTTTTTTTTATAGTGTTTTTAGATACTAATATATAGCAAATCGATCAGTTTAATTTGTGATATCATTTTACCTTCAGTTGTCGTGATTGTATTTCAAGTCCGACAGTAATCGCGTTCGTAGATTTTTTATAACTAAAAGCTTTAAAATTTACATAGAAATATTAGGTATCTAGCCTCGTATTTTTTTTTTATTTGATCCTTTTTTCATTTAGTTAGCTTTTTGCTCTTCATTACTGTATAAATAACGATCTTCTCGTGTTTGCATTAGGAACTTGTAATTATCTCTGGGCTACCTCACGCGATAATTAGAAAAAGAGCGAAAAACTTTACACTTCGTCATACGTCTGCGGACTTTCTTAACGAAGTTGATCCTTTAATTAACGTCAAAAGAAAATGATAAAAAGATAAAATGACAAAGACGAAACTTTTCTTTCGTTCATGATATATTGAAAAGGTAAAAATTATGTGAAAACGTATAAATACACGAAGTTCGCGAAATCAGAGAAGTAAAAACAGAGAGATAAGGCGCTATTGATGTATGCTTAGAGCATATATCCGATTTGAACACATTCCAAATAGCAGATGAGCATGATTCATGGCTCATGTCTAATACGAAAATTAACGTTGTATTCGACGGAAATTACTTGCGAAACGAATTATATATCTAGGATTCTATATAAAGAAAATTTTATTTCTGTAGTTTTTATTTAAAATTCCTCGAAAATGATTGATCTCATATTTGTACTTTTATAACAATTTGAAACATCGATAATTTAGTTTTAATACAAATTATTTTGAGATTTGTCTCAATATTTTAATGAATTAAAGAAAGGATTACAAATTTTATATGCTATTATAATTATCCATTCTTATTGATAAATTATTATTGTTATTCATTTGACAGAATTGAATTGATTTTGGGTAATCTATTGAAAATTTAGTCAGACTAAATTTATTCAGAGTTAATTTCATTGTCCGCCATCAGTTCTGCTTAATTAAACTTATTTTATTTATCACTAATTTTACTTGTACGGGTGATTAATGAATTTTTCAGGGGGCATAGCGTCAGATGATACTATTTATAAACAAATATGATAGCTATTTATAAACAAATGCGTCGCGTGCAAATCACCGACGTAGCTTTTGCAAAATAAAATGCTTATGTGTGAAACGTTCTATTGACGTATGTTGTTTGCGGATTCACAATTTAACAAGATAGGACACGAGAAGTCTTTGATACGAAACACCGATGATGTAGGAGAGCCCAGAAGTTACGCCGTGCAACAATTACGCTCTTTTAAGCATGACGACGAGACAGAATAGCGGGGGCGATGTATCTTCTTTGTGAACATGAACTTTAACAGTATGAAAGTTTTCATGCTGCCGGGCAAAAACTTAGGGCTCGTTAAGAGGCGCGCATTTGCATGACATTTATCACAACTCCTGTGCGAGGACCTTTAAGATACGTGCCAGCGCGACCGGATAAAGCCGGAAGGATTAATGAGGACATCTTTCTCCCATCCTCTCTGTTGCCACGCTCGCACTTCGCACGGTGTTAAGACGAAATATATATTCGTCTTAAGTACTTTAATGTCATCTCTTCGGGAATGCTATCCTCTTAATGTTTTTGTAGAAGAACAAATGTCAAATATATCTTAATTATGCAACTATCTTTTTAATCTATTGCTTGAAAATAGGATTTGAATGTTGAAGTTTAATGAAAAAAAAAAGCTGTGGCAATTCATAATATTTTAATAAAATATTTTTGATATTTTATTACCTGATATTTATATTTGAGTTTAGTATTATATATTGTAAATATTATATTGTATTAAATATATATTAGTGAAAAAATATTAGTGAAAACAGAGATACAAGCTGAATGTAATATTCATATTATTATTTTATTGTTCGAACAATTTCTCTCATCTTTATTTGCGATCAGAATAGATCTTACTCATAAAGTGTGCTTTTTTCAGAAGTGCTCTATTTTACCTATTGGCCACCTGGTGGCCGTGTAATTTTAACGATTTCCGGTCGACGGATACGCGTTTAGCTGCTACGTATTATGCGCATATCAATATAATCCTCAATGTAAACCAGACATGGATCTCGACATGTAATCTGATAGTTTAAATACCAGATAATCACAACCGCGATTTTCATATATAAGCTAGATAGTTAAATTACAATTTTAATATGCGGAATATACATTGAAAAAAAAAGTCTGGTAGCTTTTTAAATGTTGAGTAAACAAATTCATTTAAATGCTTGGTTAATATAAATAAAACTAATTTTATTTTTTAAATATTAATAAGTACTATCAAATATAATAATATAACTAACTATTTGGTAATAACTACTAAATATTTATATAGAAAGATAACATTATTTTATATTAATTGAACATGTGATTGAAATTATTTCAACATTTGAGAGCTATTATCAGATACTTCTTTTTAGTGTAGCTGTACGCTGCTGTACTGTAATTTAATTTTATATATCTTGATTGTGCTATTTCTTTTTACATGAAGTAGAAAGGAAGTTTTTTTTACTGTTTATTTATTTCTTTAAAAAAAAACAAAGCTTTCTAAATTAAGGAAATTAATTAAAATATAAATAAATACATATATTCGTCATATATGTTTTGAAAATATTTTGTTATGCATTACCTAACACAGGATTTTTGTATTCAACTCACGCAATGGTGATGTTGCGTGTAAAGGCCGGTCCGGCCTTCTCTTGCTAGCGTATCTGTGTGGCGTGAAACGTAAACGATGTAGCGGCCGTGATGCCTCGTGCGAAAATCGAATTTGCACCGTGAAGTGCGAGATCGGGACGTTATCGGCCAGCCGGCGTGTGCACAATTTTAACAATTTCCGGACGGGTTACTTTCGGCGTAACGCGGCGTTTCGCTCGAAGGTCGACACGAGTCAGATCTCTCGCAATTCAAAACCTCGATTCGAATGATCGGCCGCGTTGGGATGGAATGGATGACGGGGCGTGTTATTATTAAGCGAAGCGATGATGGGTTGCTGTTCGCAGAATGATTTGTGCTGTCGATGTCTTTTCATGTTAAAGGGAATCTCCTCACTTACATTTACATCGTCGTACTGTTTGAAATGGAGCTAAAACCTCCGTTTTGTTTGTCCTCCGTAATGGGCATGTGTGAGCGTGCACTGTTATTTCCTAGAAGAAAATTAAGATATCAGAATTTGATATGATGAATTTGTTTATAAATTTTTTAATGTTGAAACAAATATTTATTTGATATCTAAAATTAGAAATAGTTAACGAAATAACTATTATAACATAAATGAAAAATTTACTGTACATACAACGTAACTAACGATATTTAATTATGAAAATTTAAATTATTGTCTTTGTGAATATCAAAATTATTCAAATTAACTCCACATTTTCAAAAAAATTGAAATTAATATTTTATTTGTTATTTAATAATAATTTTAACTGAAATGTAATTTAAAGATTAATTACGCAAAAGTAGTGTTATTATATTTGTAACACTGATAAAGATATACGATTAATTGATGAACTTATTAAATATTATTCTAACTCTAATAAGTTTAACTTAAACAAAGATATCAGTTAAGAGCATACTGTTCAAGGAGATAGCGATTAACTCGAGAATACTCTGTAGAACATGTCAATGGTGTTCATGACATACAGTCGAAGCAACGACGGGCCCATGGATTACATGCACGACACGTGTCGCCGACGCATTTACCGGCGTGACGTTAACACGTGCATCGTCGCGGCTTCTCGTTGCGGCGCGTCTCGCAATGCGTAAGTGCCGCGAGGAAATGCGTGTACACTGTGGTTTCGAATGCACGTTGCGAATGATTTACATGCGTTCGCGGATAGTATGCACCGGATGCAAGTTACTCGCACAGATGCGACATGAAGATTTAATTTTCCTATTGTGATCGTTAACTGGATCGTTCCCCGGCGTTCGATTCAACATAATTTTAATTATTATTCATCAAGTTCCGTTGGTATTTTTTTTCTTTTCACTACAAAATTCTGCTCGAGGGCGAACATCCGAGACCCCGATATATCCGTCATCAATGAAAAACATGTCGGACGTAACGAAGAGGATGGTCCCGACGTGGGTGCCGCGCGCCATTCTCGGGCTTTTCATTCAAAACGAGTCGTGTCCAATTAAGCGAGATGCTTCGTATACGCTTCATTTATTCATAATGCGACATGTTCCATCGATATTTCGCTCCTGGCTAAAAATGGGAATCAAGTTTTAGATGAGTATCCATGTTTGCTTCCAATAACATATCTTGTCTCTATATTCAGCTCAGGAAAAAACAAAGCTATAATATAATTATTTGAAATCTATGTAATGAACGACATAAAGAAAAAAGATAAAGCTTACATAAAATGTGAACAAAATATTTAAATTAGTAATTATTAAAAAAAAATGTTTTTATTTTTTTTTTACAATTACGAAAAAATTTATTTCAAAATTGTCTTCTGAAAACTAATTGTGATTCATTTATGAACTCTTACTCTCATATTATTTAAGACTAAACTTTTTTTCTAAGTAAAACATTTTTTCAGCTAGCCTCTATAATGGAATTAATGATTCTGCAACAAGTTACCCATACATAAATTATGCAGATGTCTTGCTTTTCACCGCAGAATATTAAGGATATTAAGAAATGAATATAAAACGCGTGCAATAATAGAAGAACTCACATGGGACACGATCAGATTACCCTCTTTGGGCAGGAATGTCTAATAATAATAAAATGAAGCGGAGATGTACTTAGATGCCTCACGAGGAATGCTAACGAGATGGTCTCCATTTGCAATTCCCGTATATTTTAGGAAACGTTGGGAATACAATACAAGCCAAGTTTCGCCGCGCACGCAGAAGTCACTCTGCCGAAGCAATCCGGATTCGCAACGAGGCCACGGAGGCGGCTAATTGAATTCAATCGAAAATGCTTGCCTAATTGCAGCGTCAAGCTTTCGTAAGCCTCGTCTTCGGAAGTTCGCTGTTCCTTCCTCTCATGACCCACCCTTCCTTTCTTGCGTTCGGCCTCCCTCGATTTGCCTTCCATCTTGGAAGTAGAACTAAACTTTCAAGTTTATAGAACTGAATCTTAAGCGGCCGACCCTCCAATTTAAACTTGGGTTGCGATGCTATCGTTTTGCCCTTGAAAGCGGGTTACCTCCGCTGGCGCGAGGATACAGCCGTGGATCCCTCTTGGATCGTACGTCTTCGCGGCGGCTCATGAATCATTTCGATGTGACGACCGCGTACGACATGCTCTCTCCGACATACACTGAATACCTTTTACGTATTTACGGTAGTATCACAGATTTGACATCATTCAGAACTCGTTGTAAAATATTTGACAGATTTTTTCAAGAATTACGTCGACTTTCTTTTAATATAAAAATCATTATTCATCACTTTTGTCAACATTGAGTTCTTTGTTTCAGATACAATACCTGTCAAATATTTTTTCTTGTCCATTTATATTTCTTTTTTATTTCGAAGATATCTTCTTAATTTATCTTGCTTGAAAATATTTGATATTTATAATTAATTTTAATCATTTGTCTTCTACGATAATAGTAAATACTGAAGTAGTAAATATATCACAACACAGTACCAATTTCTCATCGCAAAGTAATCACTCAATCTTTTATATTTTTCTTCTGTTAGAAAATCGTTTATAATCCGGGTCAAACATTTCTATTAAGTTTAATTCATTTTTAATTACTTCTCACGGTCGCGACGTAAGCAAAAATGTGCAAAAATAAGCCGCTTGTGAAACAGCCAGCATCAGACAGCCTTCGCTGCTCTATGCGACTTGCCCCGACTGATTTTTCGAGTATGTCCGACCTGTCAACGGCCTGATGGAACGGGGAAAGACTCCAAGAAAAACGCACGATCGCTGAGTTAGAAATGAATCATCAGTTGGTTCGTAAGGCTACCGTTGACGATTAATTTTTCCGCTCGTTATTACGGTCGACGGCCGACAGATTGGTTGGCGTGAAGGAAAAAAGCTTTTACGCCGCATTTTTGTGTTCAGAACGAACGATCGCTTCGGATCGCCATGAAATTGCAGCGATGAAAATTTGATCGCCGGAGAGAGAGAGAGAGAGAGAGAGAGAGAGAGAGAGAGAGAGAGAGAGAGAGGGTTCCCACGTGGTGCTTTAACGGCAATTTGGAATTTCGTGTAGGCCCGTTATTCTTTGCGACAGAAATAACTCAGGGCATCCCATATGAACGTAGTCTGACAGCGCAGTATGTAAACACCTCGTAGTCAACCAATCGGTCGAACCACTGGGAACAGATACTTCAAAAAATTCAGATTCATCATCTTCACAAGGCAAGAAAAGAGTTCGTAGATTTAATATTCTGTATTGAACATACCATATCTTAGCAATTGAGTCACGAATTGAATTTTCGAAAGAAGTAAAATATAAATTTCAGTGACAATATAGCTTTAATTTAAGCCATTTATTCTCAGGCGATTGTAATTCAATCATCGCGAAGCTATCTTAAAATATCAATGTAAAAAAAGTCTATTTTAAATTGATTTAAAAGTTTATTATGAAAGTTAAAACTTGGGAAATTGATGTACGATATTGTTATGTTCTATAATATAATATCGCAGTTATTGAAGTTTTGTGGAGCAAAGATTTTCTTTAGCGATTTAAAACTTTTCAAGTTTAGTGTATCTTTCGAAAGAGTTCTATTCACGATCGTTCGACTAAGTTTTCAAGGAAGCATCACGTTTTTATGCTGCACACGCTGCACGCGCTGCTTTTACGTGTCGCAAAATAAATTTTCTTGTCGTATTCTTGCATTTACTGTCGCATTTATTGTTTGCGGTTGCGCATAGCAGCTTCAGAAACGGTTTACGAAGTGCGGATTTACGAATGTCGGTTCCTACGAATCCTCTGTGACGCTCGGACGACGATCATAAGGAGATTTTATCGTTACGACATTGTCTCCGTCGTACATAACATGAAACGTTGTATCTTAGCTTGTCGTCATTTATTTCTCGTCCGAGAAATCTCGAGCGTGACTACTTAAATGTCTACATCAGTTGTCTGACTTATAATGGCAACAGCTTTTCGTAGAAAAACATTCTCTTTTCAGATTCAAGTCATTTAAAAACTTCTTTATCGACATCTATATATTATAGAGTGATTCAGAATTATTTTTATATTTGAAAATGTTTCTTTCCTATATTTTTTAAGCACAATACAATTTTAAATTTAATTTTTTAATCTTGTTTAAAATTAAAATTTATTTAAATTTAATTTTTATCATTACATAAAAATATATGAGTGAAACACCGCACACATGATTTCTGTATAAATATAAGATAGAAAATTTTCAAATTGTTAATTTATTATTTTTGAAAACGTAAGTATTAATAAAAAGGAGTATCGAAAAGTCGTTTTATCATCGTTGCGAAGATTCGCTTTTTTGCGTTTCAGAATATCGTCTACATTTCTACCGCTAGGTGCGATTGTTCTGCAATCTTCATTCTGCAATCAAAGACTAACGGAAAGAAAAATGAAAGGATTAAGTGAAGCACAAAACGAACGTCGGCCACATTATGGCGAAACTCGATTTTGTGAAGAGGAGTAAAAAAGATTCTAATTGTACTCAACTCAGTTGCTGCAGCGTATAGCGCAATAAAAGGGTCGGCAATAAAAGGCAGCGAGGCAGCTAACGGTGAAGAGGTATTTTTATGGGAGACGTGCTGTTACTGTTCCGGTTTTCTCGAGCAAATGTCTCAATGTCCACCTCCACGCAGGACGGCAGTTGATAAATGCACGCGCAATTTGACGCGGTTCGCGAATCCTTTCCTTTACGGTACCTATCTTTATTCCATGTTCGTATTCACACACGGTTTGCAATATACACTCCTCGTGTTTCCTCCCGCGCATTTAGATTCTACGCTTTGAACTTCACTTTCAAAAACAACAACAAGAATGAGAGCGAACATTGACTTGAATGTGAAAATATATAGAAAATAATATGCTAAAGGAGAAAATTTGATTTTCATAAATTAAGAGAGTGGTAATATAAATGATAAGCGTGGTAATATTACGAGATTGTAATATTTGTTTTCATGATGCATTATTCTGCTACGTTATTTAAAGGATTATTGCAAGGGAGAAAATTATTCCCCAGCGACAATTCCCGAATAAACTGCGTTCGCGATAGGCAGATGGTAATCCCGAACAGAACAAAAGAAAAACCGCGTCCGCACTCCCAACCAAAGCTTCCATTGCGCCGGCAATGTAAACATCTGATATATATAGCGGCGAGAGAAAACGGCGAAAAGTTTTAGCGAGTGCTTCTGACAATCTTTAAACGATTGATGGGATGTATATGTCAGAAAAAAATTGTTTTTTAAAAAAATAATAAAGTAATTTTTAATTTTTTTAATTGAAAATTTGTTTTTTTTTAAAGAAAGTAGTAAATAATGAATTTGTTAACTTTTTAATTTTTTTCATCGAAACTTACGGTATTTATAGTTTTCTTTTAGTTTTTATACGCAATTAAGATCCTCTTTTGAATTGATATAGTTTAAAATGCTCGTGATGTTTTTAATGAAGTTGTGAAATAGTGCTTTTGCGGTTGTAATTTTCTACCAAAGAAAACCGTAAAGTTACCAGCTACAATATCTTTTAGGACATCATATAACTAGCACAGACATTTTCAATTTTTCAGAATCAGTCTGTAACGTGATTTCATCTCTTGTTCTTGTCGTTATTTTCTCTTTCTCTTTCATTTCTGCTGTAGAAATTCTTTATGTCCGCGGGTATCTTCGGGCACGTTTCCGGAACAGAACGAGAGATCGGAGATCGGTTATTTTTCTTTCTCTTTACGCCGAGATAACCTCGAGTTTTCTTGGTTCTGTCCGCTTTATTGCTTCGCCTCGTCCGTCTTCTTCTTACACTCGCAGACGAGTAAAACGCGCCTTTCGATTCTAATAGAACATCGTAAAACCGCGACGACGTCGTGAAAACTGCAGAAGACGATGCAGTGGTAACATTCTTCAGCGAGCATTCTTGGTGTGTTCGGGAGACCGTCGCTTTTCCAATTTCTTCGAACTTCACATTTCTCGACTTCCACTTTTTCTATGCTGATTTTTTGCAAGGAATGTGCCGGACATGTGAGAAATATCCACGAGGAAAAATAGATGACTGGACAACTTCATTGTGAACCCGCCTTTCTTGATTAAAATATTTTAGGATGAAAATCTCGCGCCATATAATTTATCTGGTTTCATTAATGAGCCCTTGTTTGTTCATTCATCATAAATACATACAAATTATCATGATAATGATTTCAATAATCGAAGAATTTAGCCAATATAATCGTTGATTGTTGCATTAATCACATTAAGGTCAGTTAACCGATATTGATTCAATTTAATAAATTTTTCTCTTTCGTTTGTCCTACTTTTAGAAAGAAGTCTTATATTAAAAATAAAGCGACGAAACTAAATGTTAACAATCTAATATGTGTCATCACATTATTAGACTTAAGTAAACAGAGATCATAAAAATCACAAAGATACACCAATAACCATAATATTACTTTCTCAGTAACCGTCAGATTAGTAAGGGCACATTTAGACACTTTTTCAACCAGAGGACCGAGACGTCAGCCCATCTTGCTGTCATCATTGACTTCTTCCCTTTTCGTACGTAAAAGCTTCTCTCCTATCTTCTCTCGTTCCACCCTTTTTCTCCCTAAGCTTCGCTATGTCATGTCAAATCAAGTTTGACCCTCGCTTTTCTTTACACCGCACCCGTACCCGAAAAGAAAGACAGGAAGTTTCTTTGGCACATACCTTTTTCTTCTTCTTTCTCTTCCACCTTCGTGACTTCTTTTTATTCACCTTCCACGTCGTGTTCGTCGCCGTCGTCGTTATCTTCCTCGTTGCCGTTGTCTTCGTTATCGTTATCCTCTTCTCTTCATCCTGTCCTCTTCCTCCTCCTCTTCCTCTTCTTCCTCCTCCTCCTCTTCCTCCTCCTCCTCTTCCTCTTCCTCCACTTTCTTTTGTTTCTTTCCGCAGCCACGGCCGTGCGGAATTCGAACCAGGGTTCGATTTGGCGGCACCCGGTTGGAGCTGGTCGGCATTACTGCGTTAGAGTAGACTGTTCGCACCCGAAGTCTACCTCCTTCTCAACTTCTCTCCGTCTTTCTCTCTTTCATATCCTCAGCCCTCCGCCTCTTTTCCTTCTCCATTCTCTCTTTCTCACTCTCATTTGTTCACAGTTTCCTTCACTCTCACTCTCTTTCTCACGTTTTTCCCTTCCCCTCTTTATCCCTCATTCTCGCTTTCGTAAACGCTCCGTGACCCGTCTCAATTTTCTCTTTTTCTCTCTCCCGCTATTTTCCGGCGATGCTGCTCTCCCACCTCGAGATCTTTTCTCTCTCTCTCTCTCTCTCTCTCTCGCTTCTTGGTCTCGTTCATCTTTCTTCTTCTTCACGCCAGCCGGTTATCCGTCTTTTTCTCTTTTACGAATCGCAGGCGCTATCTTACCAATCTAAAATTACCCTAGAAACGCCGTTTTCTTTCTCTTTCTCTCTCTCTCCTTCGTCTTCTCCTACCGCTTTTCCTCCCGCGACTTTCAACGCACATGCCGGCTTCCGCTATGGACGCGTAACATGCCTCTCTGAGGTAAGCGACTCATTCCTGAGTAGGATCGATTGCTTGAATCAGATTTAGAGATCGATATTTAGATATGCGGTAGATATTGTTGTAGTGTATTGATCAATTCGGTGACAGGCGATGAGTCGCGATCGAAAAATAATTTATAAGAACGAAGAATGAGAAAAATGATTTTGAAGATAAAGTGAAACAATGAGATCAGCGTGCAGTGTTTTTCCACTATTTATTTTTAAAGCTTCATTTTACACTAATAAAGTTAACTGTGCAGTGAAGTAAACAAAAAGTTAGAATAATAAGGTGCAAAAATAACGAGATTTATTAAATATAGACAATAGAATAAGTATACAGAAGCAAAAACTAACAAATTATCTCTTTCGAATATTGAACAATAATAATCTTTATCATAATTTTTACATAATTTGAAGAAAAGCGAATTAATAATCTTCAATTTAATCTCACTTTAACATTAATTTTATCTTGAACGGGGATTGATGATTTAAGAAGTTGAATTTTCAGATTTAAAATATAGTTTAAATTACAATGTATGATATTGTCTCATCATATTTCTATTAAAATACGATCGTTTTTATAATTTTTTAAAGTACTTGTAGCAATCAATTTCTGAATTTATTCAGATATTTCCTATGCAAAAGATAAAATCAGAATGGTCAACATCAGTCCGTCAGCGAATCATTTTCTCGTGCGTGCAATTCACGACGGTAGCTACCCTTTTTTAATGCCTCTGCAATTTTATGCCTTAAAGTGTCGTAAATGTCGCAGCTGACTTATGGTTATAAAAGATGCGGAAAGGTACGCACGCGCTATGTAAATTCCTGCTGCGCGTTTCACCATAAACTTATAAATGACCGGGGGACAGTTCGCCCAATTCGTGATCGTTTACCTTCAACTATGTCGCGCATTTATTAACAACGATCCAATCAATCTTTGGTACTGTTCCAAACTCGAATAATGGAAATATTTGTACGTTCCATTTTTAAACTCGCAATGCTGCGGATGGCCCGTGTATTTACGTTTCCTTTACATGCATTGCAACGCTCACGCAGTAGATTTGATACATATACAAATTGTAAGATCACAGATAGATAGCATAATAAATCATTATCATTGAAGTCCGGGAAACACAAATAATTATGCATTTTATAAATATTAATTCTATCGCGTTGCAACCACGGTTGTTAGAGCTGAGTCTTTATTTCATAATAGCGATCAGTTTTCACTTCACCAAGTCAAGATCCGAGAAAAAAATTCAATAATCGTCAATCCAATGAAGGCGTGCGTGTGAAGCCGATTTTGCTTTATTTGCAGTTTGCATTATTTCCGTAGTTCGCGTCGCGTCGCATGGAGAAGCTCGATCGCAGAGGCAATTCCCATCGTGTTCCACACTTCGGACTTCTATATCTGGCCCGGGCCAGCACTGTTCTGCGTTTGGCCAAATAAAATACCACAGGCTTTCCAAAAAGAGGTTCAAGATCGCTCGTCCGTTTGGCTAGAGTTCGCGCAGTGATCTCGATTTAGGCGTGTGACATATTTCCGTACAGCTTCTGGCTACACGTCTCTGGACGCACCTGTCATATCTCCTCTCTCCGTTCTCCTGTTCTGGTTTCCCACTATAGTGGAATCCGAGTATCGTATCTGTGGCCGACGAGGATCCACTCCGATTGCGATTCACGCGCATATCCGCGTATTACTGCGCGGCCTACATCCACGGCTAAATCCACGGAGACTTCGGCTCGGTGACGAATGGATCATTCGTGTGGATTTCCGCGCGATCGCGCAAGAAAATTAGCAACCTATACTGTCTTAATGAGATTTAGTTTCATAGTGATGATGAAATTAAAATTTATGGCAATGAAATGCATTGTTTAAATGTAGGGTTGGGTAGTAACTAATTAAAACGTTAAAAGTTAACAAAAAGTTAAACAATTAATAACCTTAACTTAACTTAATTAATTTTAAATGCATTAAATTTTAACTTAACTAAGTTACTTTTAAACGTTAATTTTTTAACTTTTTTTTAAGTTAAAAAATTTTTTTAACTCTTTTAAATAGAAAAAAAATAATAATAATAAGATTAAGGGCATATATTCGTAATTTGTTCATATTTTAAAACCATCTTAAATACTTTCTTAAGATGCTAACTCAGAGGGCTGATACAGTCCTCTGATAGTTTATATGGTTATATCTTATGCTATAAGCCTTAGTCCGGATCTACAATAGATGTTTTAAGCCTTAAAATAATAGGTGTTTTAAGCCTTTAAGTCATAAGAAATTGACCAATTACAGTCAAATATTCTTCTCGCATTCGATTGTAATTGATTAATTTCTTATGGTTTAAGACTTATTAAAAAGTAAACACTGATTTAATTTTGTATCTTCTCTACGTGCTGGCTATTTTTTTAAAGTTATATGACTTATATAATTATATCATTATGTGTTATATACTTATATCACATATGAATAAAAAAATTAAAAATTTAATTTACTTAATAATCTATATTGTAGTTATTTAATCTCATTTTAAGAAAAATTAGGACATTTTGATCTAAAAAATAATTTATTCAAAATTAACTTTTTTTTAACTAAAGTTAATTCAATATCGACTTAACTTACATTAAGTTAATTTTTTATTCCTTCGACTTTTAACTTAACTTTATTAATTTTGTAAAGCCATTAACTTTAACTTTATTCAGTTAAAAAAAAGCATTAACTTATCCAACCTTGTTTAAATGTTAATGTAATATTTATTATGTAATATTTATTATGTATATATATAATCGTGATAATTATTATGATTCTTTTAAGAAAGCGAAAATATTTTTTGATGAAAATATCGTTTTTTCAATTATATATTTTTTTCTTAGAAAAGTTTTGAGTCAAGTAAAAAGACTGAATTTTTGAAAATTGAATATAAAACAGCAAATAAATTTACGTATTAATTACAATATTATTGTTATTTTAATTCGAAGGATGACGGGGATTATAAAAAAAGAGACACAATTATAATTTTGATTAAAGTTAAACATATAATTTAAGATGCAGTAGTATTTAAATTAAGTATATATAATATTACTAAATCGATGATCAATTTATGATTGTGATATTATTATTTCAATTTATGATTGCGTTTCAAATCCGACAGTAAGCGGCGCCAATTTGTATAAATAAAAGAATTTATTTATAAAAATTAGATATTTATATGCAAGATCTAACTTTAATTGTATTAATTTTTTCTCATTTTTCATTTGTTTAAATATGTTCATAAATTGTGGTCGTATAAATTTTATAAATCACAACCAATATCTTTTCGAAAAATAAACATCTAATTTCGTCTTATTTTCAAGCGCATTGATCTTCCTGCGATTTGAGCGAGCGCCAAACGAAATGACTCGTAACAAAAATTCCAGGCGTTTCCGCGCGATTGGCAAAGATTTTTATAGCAAAATAAAGAAAATCACGTCGTAAACCTAGAAATTGCGAGTTTCACCGTGACATGCAACAAAGTTGCACGAAGTTTGATCGAGTGCGCCGATGGTTTCCGCAAACGCAGTGGTCGCTGAAATTTCCATTATTACACGTTCAAGTACCCACCAACGATGTACATCGTCGCGATAAGCGTGCGCGTGGATGATAATTACTTCACAAGCGAGGAAATCAGAGAAGTTTACTTCGCTTGGGTATGGAGTGTGCCGATGTTACCACCACCGGGAGTATTCGCGGGTTGCAGCTTATGCGTATTTCCATAGGGCTACGAACTTCAATGGCACTCCAATATTCCGCTAGCCTTACCGAGAATCAAGAAAACAACCTTAGCGCAACTTAATCAACTGGTTTTAACTCTCTATAACGTCTGTTTCCAGTTCCAGGAAATTGGTGAAGTAGTTAAATTGCTAAATGAAGTGCAGAATATAAACTTGAATTTTTATTAACAATTTTCATTAATAATGAAATGTAATTTAATTCTTTACATATAGGTATTAGAAAAAATTTAGTTGTTTCTACTAAATACATTTTTCTGTTTTGTAAATATAATAACAAAAATATTAATTATAGTTTTATTTATGATTTAGAATGTTATAACCAAAAATTTTTGTAAATTAAGAAAAATTATTATATTATTACAATCACATTTTGATTTATAGAATAAAACATTTATCAAAAAAATATTTTTCTTGATAACAATATAAATGTGGATAGATTATTCTATATATAAATAATCTATGAAGTAATATTTCTTGGAACTTTTACGAAATATAAATAGAACCGATTATATTTAAAGAATTGATTTTTGATATTTTAAAAAATTGATATTTTAAAAAAATATTTAGTATTGATACATTTTTTAATATATTTATGATAATTGTCGCAAATTAAATATTAACGTCGTTTTCCTTCTTCTTTTTATCCAATTAATTTCATGCAAAAATTTTCAACTGCATTAAGGCTTTAAATCTTTGGCAATTTATTTATTTTA